TTAAACGAGTATATTCGGCACGTTCACCCAAACCGAATGCAATGGATTCGGCAAAATGCCGTATCCTTACGTGAAGCAATCTTTAAAATAATAAATTATATTGATAAGTAACAAATAAAATATAAATAGTATCACTATATAAAATAGTACGTATAAAAAATTTACCTGAAATTTCCTTCATGAAATTCTTTCATAAACACCAAATTTACCAATGGCACAATAAGAAAGCGACTTCCAATAATGCCAAAAATAAAATACATGTAAATCATTAATGGACCCAAATAACCGCTAAATACCCATGTAAGATATGTGTAATAAGCGATGAGAACGGGAGAGATGATGATTTCTTCACAAATAACTCTTAGGGATTCAGCAAATTTATCTACATCTTGAGTTATACGCTGATCACTACATTAAGAACATTAAGGATGAAATGATTAATTATTTAATTATAGACAATTTTAGACAACTTTAGGCAATTATTCTAGTTAATTACAGACAACTAGATAATTCTATACGATTATAGACAATTTTATACAATTTTATATGATTATAGACAATTATATACAATTATATACAATTATATACAATTATAGACGCGTTTTTTAAAAATATACATACGGATTATCAATATCTGGACGCATGGTTAAAAGTCGATATAAAGTATTTTGATTGACGTATTTACTTTGCAAGTGTTTTGTCAAAATTTTTCTCGTGAATAAAGAAAATATTCCACCAACAAATTTTACAACACTTTTACCCTAAAATTCCAAGATAAAAATTCAGAACTACAAAGAATATAAAACATAAATATTAAGATAAAAGGAGACATACCAAGCCAGCACCCAAAACAATAAGGCCCGAAAAAATCAAGAGAGTTTGAAAGCCATCAAAGTCTTTACTGATCAAAATCATATAAAATCTACTAGGAATACTTCCAGCAAAATATACGGCAACCTCATTTATAAGGCTGGCCAAGATAAAGATAAACCATATTCCAATAAGATTTCCATCAGGATTTGAACGAGAAAAAAGGATTTTACATATTCGAAAGAATCTTTTACAAAATAATCGATCGAATGAAGATTGACTTCTTGCAGTACGATTGTTTCGCTCTATCACATCTAGTGGAACTGGTTTTGTAGTTCTAATAATCGATAAAAAATAATCGATAAAAACAAAATCGATAAAATCGGTAAAAACAAAATCGATAAAAAAAAAATAGTAAATAAATCGATAAAAAAATATAATCAATTCAATTGTAGTAATTCAATGTAATTCAATATATCGTACCTTGTCTCTACACCTTTAATAGAATTATCTTCTGTGGGGACTCGTTGATATTCATGGTTCAGATTAAACAGACTCATTAGTTGTGGCTTATGTGATGCTGCGCCAACAATAGATTAGATGGTTTTTAAAGAGTTCGATTACTAATTATTTTATAAAGTTTTCGAGTTGATTGGACAGAGAAAAAAAGTTATAAAAGTGACGTAAATCAGGACATATGACAAATACGCAGCTATGCATAAAATACAAATAATGCTTACCTATTTAAAAAAAATCCTACAGATGATTGTTACAGAGAATAATGATAAAAGATGCAGAAAAGTCTTTCTTCAATGAATCAAATTAACAAACATAAAAAAATAGCTTTGCGTCCGTAAAAGAAAAGAAAAAAATTTTTTATTTTTTTTTTAAACTTCAGCCCTTTAAGATCGGTGTTTATATATAAAGACAGATTTATGGTGGCTCACAATTTTCACAATTGCATAGATGAACCAATCGGGACAATCGGCGGTGATATAAAAACTATTTAAACTAAATTAAGGTCCAATCGAGAACCCAAACAAGACCAAGTGGAGCAGGTGTGTAAATAAATGTTAATCATTGATATTTAAACAATGCAGGCTCCTGTCAATATTTTATAAGAAAACAGTATAAAATGTCGCGTCACCGATATGGAAAACCCATGCGGGAAAAGACCAATGGGAATGTGATTATGGAACAAATGTGTGAATAAGAGAATTCACATCATTTCCCTTTCGTCTCTTAAAGATTTTATAAGTTAATTATAATTGACATACAGAGAAACCCCAGTTTCCATGAACAGAATAAAGGAAAAAAGAAGGCTAATAAAAGAAAGACAGGAGGAAATGACGTGATGACGTGCTACGCCAAATTCCAATAAAGCCATTCAAAGGTAAAATGAAAGTTGATTAATAAAGAATTTTGGCGCCATATTAAGATTCATATGTTTATCCGTATATTTACAGCATGGCTTCTTGTGCAAACGTGCAGTCACAAAATAAAAGTAAATGGACACATCACGCACATCAATGTGTCACATTGAGTTAGCACGTGACCTGGATTTCCCCGAAATTTTTAATTTTTTTTTTTTTTTTTTTTTAGGATTAACGTTAAAAAAATGCATTATCCAATCCTAACGTTAAACCAACGTTAAACCAACGTTAAACCAACGTTAAACCAACGTTAAACCAACGTTAAACCAACGTTAAACC